CAGCCACTGAAATTGTACGGTAAAACTTTAGATGATATGTGATTGTTTTCACTGCTAAGTTAATAACTACGCTAGGTAAAAGTCCAAAACTTTTCTTGGGATTATCAAAATGAGTAAGGGGAGAGAACACAGCCTGGAAATTGCATTTGTGCTCAAATGCCTCACCCATTTAACTTTGGATACAATTTTTAAAGTACCTAAATAAAGCAAAAGCCTACATTCTTTAGGGGACCGATGTTCCCAGCTCGTTAATTTCAATGGGATTTTGTTACTTGACTTCTTTACCTAAGGCTGACATCCCTAAATCTGATTCCTCATTTGATGTGTGCTTTTCAGGGCCTACATCCCATTAATTTTCAGTAATATTCAGCCACATAAGTCCTTGAGTCACTACTGAAAATGAGACTTGGGGACTATTCACAAGTGGGCTGATCTTCCTTGGCTCCCTCTGTAATCCCAAGGGAGGTGGGCTCCTCTTGTGGGATGAGCAGGATCGTGCTGGGTGCTCTGAGAGAGCCCTTGCAGGAGCCCATTGGGTAGGCAATGAGAGAAGACTGGTCTCCCAGTCTAAAGCTAGCCCTTGTAAGCACCTCCGGTGGGTTTCCAGTGCCGGGCTGGTGTGCCTTTCCTGGTGCCTTCTGGCTTGACAGAGTAGCTTGCTGCACTGCAGGTGCCAGACAGCCTTAAAACCCTTTTCCTTTCCGTTACTGAAGGGACAATGGTTGAAATTTCCAGCTTTTGTACGCTATGTCAAAACAGTTTCCCTACGAGACAGGGTTTTCCCTGGGTTGCAAATAGGGTTTCCCTGGGAGATCTGCTGCCTGTTGAGGCTACCCTGGTGTCTTAAACTTATCCCCTGCCCCAGATCATGCTGAGGAGCAGAATTCAGCCCCCAGTACCGAATGAATGTGAATGACCACTGACCTGCCCGGCTGGGTCACCCTTCCAGCGGCAAAATGGCACCTTGTTCTGAAATCTTGGTGGGCCTTGGAGAATGTGGTTCCCTGGGCCTGTGTTCCTTCTGTCCGAGGCAGGGTAACCCCGTTTGACTAACTCTCTCCATGGTAAGCAGGGTGTTTACTGGCTTGTATCTGTCTCAGCTTTGACACTCTAACAAAAGGTTAGAAATCATGAATGCATCCCTTTATTTCTGCTCCACAGTGCCTCTCTTTTTTTCTGTGTAAACCCTTCACTTGCCTCTTGCCCAGCCTTTAGAAATGATGATCAAATGCGAACTTTCAGGGTTTATTTATAGCATAGCCTTTATGGAAAGAGAGAAAAGAAATTATTAAAAAGCAATTTTACAAAATATTTTGTTTTAAGAGAGAATTCATTGTGTTTAAATCACTGTATTCATTGTACTGTCTAGACTGGCAAACAAAGAAGATAGAGCGTCATTCAAATTAAGATTGTGAAATTCTTGGTGACTGGAATTATGGATTTGGATGTCAACCCTCAAACAAACTATTTCTGAACGGCAGTATTATCACTTTGCTATATTTAAGACTTTGTTGGAGGCAGAACAGTGCACAAGGTTGATCTGATTCAGTAATGCGATTCTAATGTTCCTTTGTTTCCGATTTCATTATAAATTCATATTTTCAATGTTCTGTTCTTCTTTGTCCCCAGAAAATTGTTGAAAAGACTCTCCTCTGGGAGTAAAGTTTTTGTTCAAACTAACAATGACCAAACTGACTTTAAAACACAAAAAAACACACAACCGAAAACACAAATGCAAATTAAGAGGGAATTCATTTAGGATATTTTGAGCAATGTAGAATGAGTGAGTTGTTGAAAATTGCTGGCTGCGTATTTTTTTTTAACATGTTATTCCACATTACTGTGGTGGTTGCTGTGGGGCTTTAATGCCGTGGATTCTCAAAGACCTATGGATTTTCAGTAGATTTCAAAATACAAAAGTATTTTAGCTGATCAACTGGAAAGGCTGCTTTGGCATCTTCCTCCTTAGCCAAAGGTGGATGGATGGGTGAACCAGCAGCAGCAGATCAGCAGCAGCCAGGCCCTATTTCCTAGTTTAGATCAGACCTTGAGGGACCAGTTTTCCTTTAGGGACCTCTCTAGACCCCATGGGAGCGGCGGCACCCTCTCCGGCTGCCTGACAGAGGATGGGGTCTCCATGCCAGGGGTTTCAGGTTTGGGGAGACCTCACAGGGAGCATAGAAGGCTTTCATCAACCTCGTGGAGACTTGGTTTCACCCTTTGAAGACCACTGCTGCAAAGCTCTTGGTCTGAAAGCTGGAGTGTCGGAGGTGCCCCGTGTGGTGCTGGGCCCCGGCAGGGTGGCAGAGGCACAGATGAGGAGCGAGGGGACGTGCGGGAGGGAGCCCGAGCTGGGGCTGGGGCTGGAGCAGCCGGCACAACAGCCGCCAGCTGTG